TACCTTCCAGTCATTAGGTACAGAAGCTGATTTAAAGGATAGGTTACAAACCACAGATAATAGCTCAGCAATTTCCCATTTGAGTTCTTTTAGAACCCTTGGATGAATGCCATCCGGTCCCGGAGATTTGTTAACATTAAGTTTTTCTATTTGTTCCAAAACCTCTAATGACACTTCAATCCAGGACAGTTCCTCAGATTCATCACCCACAAAGGACGGTGCAGATTTGGGAATCTTCCCAACGTCCTCAGCCGTGAAGACTGAAGCAAAGAAATCATTTAGTTTCTCCACAATGGCTTTATTGTCCTTGATTGCTCCTTTTATAGCTCGATCATCTAGGGGACCCACAGGTTTTTTAGCTAGATAGTTTAGAGAAGGTTGCAGTCTTAGATCAGGGCTGCGGGATATGCCCTAGATCAGGCGTGGCCAACCAGTGGCTTTCATGCGGCTCTTCCTCCTCCCCCCCCAATTAGTGTGGCTCGCAAAGCTGCCCCTGAACCCCCTGAACATGGCCCATGCCTTCCAGCTCCCTTGTGTTCACTGGGACAGGGGAGCTGTCCAGATCCGCCAATGGGAGGCTGCTGAGGCCAAAAAGCCTTTTTTTGTTTTTGTTTTTTGTTCTACAACTCTTTGCTCCAATTCTTCGTGCTGGATCTTGGCTCTTCATCTGGAACGGGTTGGCTACCCCTGCCCTAGATACTTGTACTATCTTTTAATTTAGTAGAGTCCAGCATATACCTGGCTGCTTGCTTATTCCCATCTTCCTGCTATGAAATCTGTCTGGTCTGTCCGTTTGGCCTCTGTCTCCTTGTCTGGATTACACATGACATAATAGGGTTTCCTCCTACATTTTCAGTTTTCTCTTTACACTTGAATAATTTACATTTTTGTTTGGGTCTAGCAGGGTCCAGCTAATCCCATAAAGTTCACTTAACCTGTTACTGAAGACAGTGTACTGCTTTGCCCAGTGGCACAGATACAGTATAGTACCAGTATTACTTGTTTTATACTCGGCTGCATTTTTATGCTACTAAAATTTTACCCAACTGGCAGTTTTTTGTCTTGTAGCAGTGATGGTTTTGGAGACAACTTCAATACAGAACTGTTCCGAGATAAGTACAGCCCTCTTCATAATTGGAGAGCCAGAGAAAGATTCTTGAGTGATAACCATTTACTCCATACATAATTCAGATAGCATTTAATATGCAAAAGTTTAGACGCCAAACTTTTTCCAGTGTGTTAAGTGTACTAAAAATTACCATTGCCTTTTTAAAAAAGCATTGATTTTTTTAAACGATCAAACCCAGAATTTAAGATTTTGTTACTTGAGCTACAATTGGCAACTTCGTGATACTGCTTACAGAAACTTCAGGCTTTGATAGCTAAAATTCAGCTTTTAATTCTACTAATTGGAATTAATTAAATTGGTTCTGATGATTTGAAATCTTTAAAGATTAACTACAGTGTTTATTAAACTTCAGGGGGTAATGTTTGTGGCAGAAGAACAAATGAGCCAATATATGGCCTTTGGGCACTTAAATGCACAAGTGAATGCAATCCTATTTTCACAGATATTCTTGTTATGCAGCAAGGAAAGATATTGCACCACGAGTGACTTTTTTAGTTGTTGAAAGTGAGAGTTCCATGCCACTTTTTTCTTAGATATTATTGTGGGGGATGTTGGTTTGTGAATAACTGTTTTCAAGGACTGTCTTAAAAATGAAATGCTTGAGGGTCTGGAAGAAGTGAGAGAGGATTACTGATAGTGTCTATAAGGATTTTCATGGTTGAAAAGGGATAACATAATGGGGATAGAGGGAGGTAGCATTGCCATGCAATTAGTGGTAATTAGTCACATCCTTTGTTCCACTTTTATACAGGTAGTGCCCGGGTTACGTACAAGATAGGGACTATAGGTTTGTTCTTAAGTTGAATTTGTATGTAAGTCGGAACTGGCTCCAGATTCAGCCGCTGCTACTGAAACTGACCAGGGGCTGACTACAGGAAGCTGGAGGCAGAATTGCTCTGCCCCCAGATTCCTGGAATCAGCCACTGATCAGTTTCAACAGCGGCTGAATCTCGAGCCTGGGACAGAATAGCTGGGCCGCCCAGGAGGG